GGCGCACTAAAAAAGATGCAAATGATGTAGTTAATGGTTTTTTTTTTGGAATAATAATGTGGTTAATGTTAAATCGCTCGTTATGTATTACATTTTCTTAAAAAAAGTTCTCATAGTCCTTTTAAAAATATTTACGGGAAAAAATACAGTTTAACGCTTTATAATTCAAAAAGAGCTCACTTGGTTCAATATGCTGACAAGGAAAGTAGAGGATGGAATAAAGTAGAAAAGGAAAAAGAAAAACATGGATCAGTCTGAATATACGTATTTATAGTATTTTCATATTAAAATAATGGAAAAACATTTTTTATACTTGATCAATAAATAAAAAATAATAGTAAAAGATCCATAACACCCTTAAGAAAATTCAGATTTTGAATTTTTAAATTTAATAAAAAATAATAACAATTTTCTGTCATTATTTTTTTTCAAAAAAATGTCGCCCCAACCTTTATGGAAAATTAGAGAAAAGTTCTGTCCATTAAAAATTTCATTAATGTAGAAAACCTAATAACTTTTTGGGAGAATTACAATCAGGTTTCAAGAATGGGATTTAATTACCCTAAAGTCTACTGATAAGAAAAGTGTAAGTAATGACAAGTTTTAGAATAGGAAATGATAAAAGGTTTAGGCTACTCACTTGTCATCAAGACTTTTTAGTAATTAAATTTCTTTATTAAAACTTCTTGGTAATTCTTCCTAACTTTTTATATACATAAAATATTGGTATAAATTGTACACATTATACCGGTATTCTAAGTTAGATTATTCTCACTAATAAAATTTGCAACGGAGAATTTTTCTCCAATTTCTTCCAACTTGTATTGCATCTAATAATTACAATTTCGTACTAACAAACTTTTACTAGTTAAAGCGGTAAGTGGCATTATTAGAAGAAAGGGGAATTACAATCAAGTTTCACAAAAGAGAAATAATTACTAAAAAGTCCCGATAACAACCTCAACAGCTTATAATGACAAGTTTCATGACGAGAATGACAATCTTTGAGACTTGTTTTTCTTGTCTGGAATCTTATTGTAATTCTCTTTTAGAAGAACACAAGTTTAAGTCTTAAGAAACACACTTATTGAAAGAGGCAGAAACTTTTTGTGTGATCGGTGGGAAACCTTGATCAAAAAATAATAATAATTACATTTTTTTTTTTGTCTTTTTTGCATGACCCTACACTTATCTGAACGCGCGCGCACGCGCGCACGATCTCAATCGTACGCATTCTTTTCTGTATTGTTAATATTGCATTCCACGTTTTCAAAGATTGTCCTTAACACGCACCCCATTTTTGAGTGATCTGAGGAAGATATTATTTCGTTAGAGAGATTAAAAAAATGAGAGGCATATAATAAAGATAAATTTAAAAAAAAAAAGTTTGGAGATAAGTTCTGGCGCTTTCAAGTTTCAAAAAAGGCAAAGGGATGAAAAAGGTTTAAATCGAACCTTTTCTACATCTCCAAGTAATAGAGTTGTTAAACTTGATTTGCTTTTATGTTCAAGCTCATTTATAATTTAAGTTTGAATGAAACCACTATAATATTAATTTAATCACTTGCATTCAGGGCATCGAGATAACCCCAAACACATTTTTTAAGAAGAAAGGGGAATTACAATTAAGTTTCACAAAGGAGAAATACTTACTAAAAAATCCCGATAACAATCTCAACAACTTATAATGACAAGTCCCATAGCGAAAATAACAATTTTTAAGACTGGTTTTTCAATTCTTTTTCTTGTCTGGAATCTTATTGTAATTCTCTTTTAGAAGAACACAAGTTCAAGTCTTAAGAAACACAGTTATTGAAAGAGAAAAAAACTTTTTGTGTGATCGGTGGAAACCTTATCAAATAAAAAAATAATAATTACAATTTTTTTTTTGTCTTTTTTGCATGACCATACACTTATCTGAACGCGCGCGCGCGCACGATCTCAATCATACGCATTCTTTTCTGTATTGTCAATATTGCATTCCAGCCTGCAAGGGTTGGGTCCGACTGGTCGCAAACGGGAGCGCAAGGCACGTTCTCCTACCGGGTCATGGGCTCGATTCCTGGTGAGGCACCATGGGATTAGTCTGGCCGATACGTTGGGATACCCTGAGTGAGCGATAACATCCTACACAAAAAATATTGCATTCCACGTTTTCAAAGATTGTCCTTAACACGCACCCCATTTTTGAGTGATCTGAGGAAGATATTACTACCTCCGGTCCTAATTATGAGACCCAGTTGACTTATTTGAAGAGATTAAAAAAGTAAGTTAAGTTAGTTATTTGTAATAAATAAGTGTTGTTATTCCTAAAATATCCTTGCTAATTAAGTGTATTGGCTAGAACTATCATTATTAGAAGGACTATATATTTTGGAAAAAAAATGCATAAATATGAGAGACAAAATGGATTGGGGTCTTATAATTAGGACCAAACAAAAAGTCAAATGGGGTCTTATAATAAGGAACGGAGGTAATATTTCGTTAGAGAGATTAAAAAAATGAGAGGCATATAATAAAGATAAATTTTTTTTTAAAGAAAAAGTTTGGAGATAAGATCTGGCGCTTTCAAGTTTCAAAAAAGGCAAAGGGATGAAAAAGGTTTAAATCGAACCTTTTCTACATCTCCAAGTAATAGAGTTGTTAAACTTGATTTGCTTTTATGTTCAAGCTCATTTATAATTTAAGTTTGAATGAAACCACTATAATATTAATTTAATCGCTTGCATTCGGGGCATCGAGATAACCCCCAAACACATTTTTTAAGGTTTTTTTCAAGTGAGTTCGAATGAGAAGATAACAAATGTACGAGTCATTGAAAAAAAAAGGGTACATTATTCATAAATTAGAAACAGTACAGTACAGTGCCATAAATATAAATAGTTTTTTTTAAAAAAAAATTGAATATATACTCGTCCGATCCTTCAAGTAGACCTAATTAAGTAGGAGAGGGGAGAGTGAATTAAGAAAATATTTAAATTGTTTTTTAAAAATTATATTAACTAGTTTAACTAACGTTTTTAATTTAATCAAATTAGTTAATTGGGTCTTATATTAAAAACCGGGTGAGTATGTGATAATAATGCTAATTGATCATATATTATGTGCTGGATTTCATTAGAAAGTCAATTTAAATGATGAATACACGTAAGAATTGGAAGAAAAACAATAGAATTTGAGCATGCCATAAATTATGTTCACATTGAAGATTCAAGTCAAACTTTGGCTTGGTTGTTGAAGTATTTTATGAAAATCAGATTTCAAAGGAAAGGTGATTCATAGAAAAGAAAAGGAATTTTCCATGAAGTCCCAAAAAATTAATATAATCATTAAAAAGGTCCCATTAATAATAGAGTAAACTGTAATGACAAATTTTAAAATAAGAAATAATACCTTCTCACTTGTCATTAAAACTTACTAATAATTATTTTTTTACTTAAAACTTTATTATAATTCTCTCAAAAAGAAAAGAGATGAAAGAAACAACGAAAAATAACTGGAAAACTCCCCACTATCAAATTTATTGCCCAAATATACCCGAACTTTGTTTACGAGCCTAGCTGCAACCTATCAATCTATTGTCACTGGGTGAAACTCTTCCGCAGCTATGTGTAACATATTTTCAGTTATATATAAAATTAAAAACATTTACACATAAGTTATGATAAGCTAAACATAGCTAAAAAAAATTTGTACCCACTCAAAAACACGGTTTCGTTGATGATTTTGGATAGGCACTTTCGGATGGTAGATTTTGTAATGGGATTATTTTTAACAATCTTTTCAAAAAAAAAAAAAAAAGGTGCATATATGAAATGCAAATAGTTACAGGATGGCGGGACTGCATTAATGATTTGAGAGGATCTTGTTATTGTGAATTGTCATTTTCAAAAACAGTTGTGATATCTCTTCTCCTTTCTAAGCTGATTACATTTGTTTTGTTCTATTCTCATTGGCTTCATTGATCATCATCACTTCACTTATTGTATCTAACACCACTTTCTCCAAAATCTTAACCCCACTTTTGATTTATATTAATAATAATAAGTCATCCAAGATCTACATGCAACTTTTTCTTATTAAATTAAACTTGTCCAATATATTTTATGACCAAATAAATTTCTCAACTAGTTCTTAGCTAAAAAAATAAATAGCTAACGCGGAGAGCTTCTTTTTAGTAAAACAAAGCTTCAAAGCCTTCACAAAGTAAATATAGAGGGGGGAGGGTGACCTTACTCTTTTTTTCCCTTTGATAAAAAGGTCAATTATATAAAATAAGAAACATTATATGACCATAGGTATATATATAATAGAGTCTAGATAATGAAAAAAATTAGTAACACATCATTTTATAAAGAGAATGATTGAAAAAAGATTGAAACAATATAGATATTTCTTTCTAAAGTGCCGCTAGGATTAGAATAGACAAAGATGTCATTAAGCGAATTCTTCTTAAACGTGATGACATTGCTGATATGGTTTAAGAATGCAGAAAATATCGAGGCAATTAAGGTACCTCAATGTAGCATCAGTTTCAAACAAGAAATGCGTAATCGGTGGCTTTACAAACTTGTCCAATATTGAATTGCTAGAGATCTTTTTTTTTTTTTTTTTGAGCATTGAATAATTTTGATGACAAATAATAAAGTGATTGATGTGGCAGTGGGAGCACCAAGTAAAGGCTTGGTTTGAAAAAATGACAGCATGCTTCGCTTAGTGCTTCCTTCACTCCCTGTTACATATGCACGTTTCCTCAGCTCAAACCTGCATGAATGACCTGTGGGGGCCTCTCTCTCTCTCTCTCTCTGTGTGAAAAATAAAGCTCTTTGGTGGCTAGCTATTTGGAGCATTGGGCCAATCAATTATTTTGTCCACTTGCTGTTAGATTCTTTCACAACAAGGGCATATATATTACCAGATATTACCCACAGGAATTTCACTCAAACATGCTAATTCACATTCATTAGTTTTACTAAGAGTGTATGATGTAAACACTGGAATTGACGCCTAATTCTGCTTCATCATTATTGGTTTTGAAACTCGCAGAAAGTAGAAACCAACACACACACAAGTCCCCACAATTTTCCATTAATTATAAGCCAACAAAATATACATAATTGAAACACTACCATTGAGTCCATATTTGAGTATGTGACCCCACAATCTCACACGCACACACACACACTCTCTCTCTCACATAAGTCATTTTCATAATAATCAAATCACAATCAAGAAGCTTCAGTTCACATTGATACTCCTGATTAAGCGGGGCCTCCTTGCTTGTTTTAGTTAGAGCTTTCGCTTTGAATCTTGGCGAAATCCAAGGTCCTTTTGCCTTGCAACTTGTTCGTAGTGTAGTGCTTACTGTACTCTCCATGATTGTATCTTCTGTATTTGGTGGGATTGTTCTCATCTACAAATTCTGGCATTGGACCAAGCTCTACTTGGTAGCTTGGGGCACAGAATGTCACTATGGTCAATCTATCTTTCTCTTCATTAGCCACAGCTCTATGCTCCACACTCTTGTATTTTCCATTTGTAAGAACCTGCATATATAATTTTGATTCATATCAGAACCATATTCTGCAGAAAAATCTGGTAATATATATGAACAGTAAAGAGAAGTAGTTTATGCAAGCCTCAAATTCATGTTGATTAAGAGAGACACAAATATATGAAAAACTTCCGTTTTGCTTAGTTATCCAGTGCTTATCTTAGCATCCATTAACTGCACTGACAAATAAGAGTCAATAGAATATGTACAACTTTAACGTTATGAAGACCCCATCATCATTTTGACACTCAAATTATTGGTTTGCTCATGTAAGCACCGTCTACTTAAAAAAAGCTTTCTATCTGAATAATGATGATTTTGGACAGATGGAACGGGTCAAGCAAGGTTATGGGAAAAATCATGTTAGGAGAGCTATCTCTCATTTAGGATTTGACAAAGAACCTGAGGCAATCAACACTATTAAATACTAAATAATTTGGTTTGAAAAAGCTGTGAGTCTGTGTGTGAATCCTACTTCAATTGGACATAACTTGCTTTTGACTAAATCAGTAAGGTTGATTAGTTGAGATGCAAGCAAGTGGGTAGGAAGACCCATTAAAAACAATGATAACAAAAATTAAAAAAGAAAGAGGAAAAAAGAAAAGAAAAGAAACTTGTATGGTCAGGAAGAAAAGGGAAAAAAGTATAGTGTTGTTACTTCAATTGTATCTCCTATGTTGATGACAAAAGCATTTGGAATTGGCTGAACAGGAATCCATGTTCTGTTCCTGAGAATCTGAAGCCCCACCGGGCTTCCCTTTGCTTGCTGCAGAACAGTAATGGCACTTCCATCAGAATGAGGACTCAGACCCATCACAAGCTCTGGTCTTGAACATGGTGGATAGTAGTTCATCCTCACAGCTTGAACTGCCTCCCCAAACATCTCAATAAATGCTTCTTCTTTCAATCCAAGCCCTAAAGCTATGAACTCTAGAACCTTCTGACATAGCTTCCTCACTTCTCTCGAGTACTCTTCCAAAGTTTCACTGCATAATCATTCATTAATCAAGTTTCTTAATTTCATCGAACAGTTGAAAACTCAGAAAGTGGGTGTATGTATCTTGACATTACCTGAACTTTTCGGGCCTCTTTGGCCAAAGATTTGGATTCCTCATAAAGTGAGGTTCAATTGCAAGAGCAAACATGTTGCACCAATCTAGCTTCTGATCCTCTGAGAAAACAAAAGCTTGACCGTATCCTTGTACTGTACCTGGAATCATCGGGTATTTTTTCTTCTCTTCCAAAGGTAGCATGAAAAAGTCCTTGCTTATCTCTTCTATACCCTCAAGCAGTTTCTGATCAACCCCATGATTCTTTACCTAAATAGACCATCAAAGTTTCAATCTTTAAGCTTCTAAAGAAGAAAAGACAAAGTGGGGTCATAAAAGAAAGCAGATTTGTCCTGTACCTGAAAAAATCCCCATTCCTCACAAGCAGAAGCAAGCTTCAGAATTTCAACTTGGAAGTCTTCTGTGTCTCTTTTGAGAAACTTGGAGAAATCAATGACGGGCATGTCACTATGTGAAGGTGTTATTGTTGTTGCATCAGAAACAAGTTCCGGTCTTTCAGTGACATCTCTCACAAATCTTTCAGGAATGCTTCTTGGCTTAGTCTTTGTGAGTTCTTGGACATCATCGATTTGTCCAACGTTGAGAGGAGAAATGAGAACTGGAGCCATGGACACTAACTGAATATCTGAAAGCTTCAGAGAATTTTCAAGTATACGAACTAATTGATTGCTCTATATATTCTCTCCACTCGCATAGCCGGTTGGAATTTATAGTGCAAATGAGACCATCCTTGTGACGTTAAAGTTACTTTAATTAAAGCTTGAAATACTATTTTCACATAATTGTGGTTCCGGCTATAGCAGATTGAATCCCATGTGGCTCTGCTTTTTATATATATTTGAATGAATTGGGTCTGTGTGGATCTTATATGCCTACAACAAACTTAAGGGAACTCAAGACTAACTGTTTCTGCCTAGTTTTTGTGACTCAATTAATGTTTAATTAATTTATAAATAAGATAAATTAATTAGGAGAAAAACGATAAATATAAATACTTTAAGGTAATTTAGTAAAATGGGCGGTTGACGGGGACCCCACATTCAACTATATTGGATGGTTTTAGATTTATACACACACCTAGCTCTTTGCACACTTGTGGGCTGGCGATGCATAAATCTTTTTGTGCCTCTTCCTTCCAAGGTTGGGACTATAGAAAATAATATTTTGGGACCTTTTGCGTATAATTTAATTGGAGAAAGCTACATATTTTAGTTGTAAGAAAATTGAAGTTTAGTTAAAAAGATTTTTGGAAATAAAAATATACACTTTCATTTATTTGACAGAGGGTTGCATAAATAATGGCACCAAACGTTTGTTGATAGAAGGATGGTTAAAGGCTTGGTTTTGCCTATTGGCATGTTTTTTGTGTGTGTTTGTTCGTAATTTTTTTTTTTTAATTTGAAAGAAAAAAATAAGAACAAGGGTCGCATAGCAATTAATTTTTGTTTTGCAAATGTTTTCTCACCGAACTTCCATCTCTAGCAATTAATTTTTGTTTAGCTTTTCCATAAATTGATTTTTAAAATTCACCTTGGTTTATAGTAATTTTTAAGATCAATAAAAAAAAAACTTTGATCCTTATCAATTGATATTTCTTTTCAAATTTTAGGGTACTTAACTATTATCATCCTCCTACAAAAGTCACAAGTGTCATTTTCTCCCTTGGTCCTATACTTATAGTCCTTCCTAGCATCTATAGCAATCGGGTGGATAGATCCCCAAAAACAGTTTAAAAAAATACATTCATAATACTCCTTTCACGTACTTATCTTGATCTTCGTAAAATCACTTTTAAAAACTAATCCCGATACTCCCTGGATAAGCTTAAGATTACAAACAAAACTTATTTTTTGCCCTTGCCTTGTATTTAAAGAAAATAATAATAAAACTTGTTGTGTGTGATAAATATAATCTATGTGTATTGATGTAACCCACACAAAATATAAAGTTCAAAGTAAGATTGACATGTATTAAAATCTTATAAAGATCCTTTCCCACAAAGAGAGTGAATAGAGTCATCAAGGCTTAATAAACATGGAAGTTATTATATTTAGTGCAAATTGTGAACGTTCAACCTATTTATAACCTCTATAATTGATCATTAATCCCATTTTGAAGGGAGCAATTATATATATACTCCTAGACATTTTTGGGTGAGATAGATAATAATAGATTTTTTTTAGGGGTGTCAAAAGATAAAAAACTTTAAAAGTGGTGAGGGTAGTTAAAGTGAAGAAGCAAAATCGACAGCTTGTTTTTGTTTGGTTCTGTTTTTGTTTGGTTCTGGTTCTGTGCTCCTAAGTGGTATTTTGGTTTTTCTGGTATCTCTCCACGGTTGAATTGCCTAATTGCATCATTAAGCAAAGCACTAAAAAACACAGAACAAAAATAAACCAAAAAAAAAAGGGGCATCTGAAAATTCAGGACCGTAGAGTAAATAAGAGGCGGCTTGGAGTTCATAATATTACAAAGCAAAGTTAAAAAGTTGGTGAATTTGAATACAAAATATCCATATCAAATGCATATAATATTTCTGAAATTTTGTAATATACTATCTTTAGTCTTTAATATAAGAGCTAGTTGGATATTAGATTTAGTCATAAATATAAAACCTCAATCTATTTTATCTATCAAATTTATGATGTTTTTTCTAAATATTACTATCATTGTAAGGTCCCACTAAGAAATAATTTTAAAAATATACGTGATTAAAAGAGTAGCTTAAGGATGTATGCCAATCCAAATTTATTATAATTAACCAATTTAATTAATTAGTTTTCTTGATTTCTCTAAATTAGTTATGTAACCCTTTTATATTAAGGATACAAAGTAATAATATTCAACTAAAATCCATCTTCACACAGTTGGTCAACTTAACGGCATATCCCTAAGATTTGTTGGGGATTCAAACTTGGCAAATGGTAAATGATCACATACACATGTAATTGCTTAGTCTTGCAAGTAAGCTGCACAAAGCATTAATTTGCAAGTGGTGATAATAGCATCAAATTAATAAACATAGCGGCTTTCTTTCTTTCTTCTTTCTTGCTTGCTTGTGGGGACCATTTTGAAATATTAATTCCTCCAGACTATTAATAGTGTTTTAGATCTTCTCACGCATGAAAATCTTGTTTTTTGTCCTCATCACATAGCATTGTGCAATTTCTTGTATTTTTCTTAGTATAGTTACTCTTCTCTTGTTCCTATCATAGAAGTTAGTTAGGGGATTAGATTTGTATCTAAATATAAAATCTCATTTTATTTTGTCTATTGTGTGTATGTCATTTTTTTCTCAAGCTTACATAATAATTTATAAAACTGATACATAATCTAATGTTATATAAGAATATTTGTTATAATTATTTATTTATTTGACTTTTGTAATCTATTAAAATTAATTAAATAACTCTTATGTTAAGGATTTGAGAGTTGATACGTGGTATTATTGGGTTAGTTAAATTTGGGTATTAGTAAGCATGGTTGAAATAACTTTCTTAAAATGATTTTCGTTTTTTCATTTACAAGGTTTGAAATATCAACATTATTTAGTGAGAATTGAATCCGTTCTAAGTTCTAACTAAACCAATTATTAATAATAACATCCTACAAATTTTATAGTATATATAGACAAACATAGATCAATTATTCTTTTATTCAGAAAGTGTGATACATTAATACTAATTAAAATAAGGAAAATACATAGATGGATCAAGTTTCAGGTATTAGTTATGTCAAATTCTTCAATGTATATGACCATGTGTCCTATTTTTGAAAAAAAAAATCATCATTTAATTATAAATACATTAAAAAAAAAAGATACATGATCATGTGTGATTAGAAAACTTGAT